GCACTAGGTAAGTTTGTATAATGGCACTAAGACAAGACTGGCAGAGAGAGAGACTGCAATGACTGATCAGCATTTACCAGGGTGTATTTATGGTTCACTGGCTGATGTCTTCTCCCCTTCTTCCCATACCAGAGACGGGACATTTCCTTCCCAGTCACATTAAGCTTCAGCAAATCACGGAAGACCTGTTCTCAAAAGCATTCTTCCTCTGTCAAAGACACATTTTCCAGCACCAGAGCCCTGCCACAGTGACAAAACAGTTCGCTGGCAGCACAGACGTGATTGACAAGGCAGAGAGCTAATCACTAAGTAGTATCCATTGAACAGATAGTCCTGAGTGGAGACTGTAAAGCTGGGGAGGGAAGACAGTGTTTCCCATGCTTAAGTTCGGTTGCACTGCACCAAGTGTGCTAAGAAAGGGCTCAAAAGTTTAAAGACACAGAGCACATATTTCCACAGCACTAACAGATACGCTGAATACAAGCCATGCATTGTGTACAACGTCCAGACTTCCTCCCACACCGCACATGTGATTGCAGCTAACACTGCACTGTTCATTCACAGAGTTCCACAATTCTTTCCTATTTCCTTTTGCTAGACTTTGGTTCTTTATAGCTAATAATCCTATAAAATTTAACTTTATGGGGTATTCATAGATAAGAAACTCATTTTAAAGTGTTTTCTAGCATATTATTTACTGAAAGATAATTGTATTTACTGTGTCTACATATGCTACCCTTCATTAATAAGTGTATTATGGAATATAAGTAGAAGCTTAGTTTTTAAAGATTAAGTACAAAGTATAACTACATTTAATTTAGATGTAAACTAAAATTACCTGGCATTCAGTTTTATCTATACTATAATGGTAATGTCCAAATATTTCTTCCATTTTAAGGCAAACTTGCTCTCCTACTAATGGCTATGTGTAATACACAATGCCATCTCCTCAAATACGCGCTACTCGAGTGCATACAACGTGTGCCCCACTGAACCCAGCACACCCTGCATTTATTACTCCCTTCTCTGTATGCCAGCCGCGCCCCTCCCGTTACTTTCCACCACACTCCTTAAACATGAAATACACTGTGGTCACAGTCCATCCCCTAACACCACTCTGAAAAACAGAGCCCAGCCCAGCACAGCCGATTCTGTGTGCAGTCCATTACACAGCCGCACCAGAGGAATGTGATCTCCCGTGCTGACTGCAGACATGAAGACTCTTAGTTTTTGACAGTTTCAACTGAATTTGCATTCTGATAACTAGGCTGAGAAGAGATCAGGAAACCTTTTTGCTTGTACTTTAATATACTAACTCAATTTTAACATACATGTACGTAGTTCTTTAATAACAATAATGAAATGAATTTAGGAAAATAAAAATATTCCAGCTGTTTGGCAGATACCATGTTAAATATGCAGCTTCAGTCCTCTGCATGGTTCTTATTAGAAGCTGCAGCAGTATTAAACTGGTGGGTTTTTTTTTTTTTTGGAAAATCTAATGACTATAGTGATAACTCTACTTGATGACAGCTGTGCATACAATAGGAAAAGAATCCAGTAATGATATAATCAAGCTTAATGGTGTAGAAAAAAAACATTAGGTTAAATATTTACATGTATATAATCAAACTGGAGAACACTGGAAGTTATAATCAAAATCAACATACAAATAATTTGAAAACTTAAGCCAAAAGGTAGGTAATAGACTGTTCTGAAGAATCCTTTGGGAGCTTATGTCATAAACACGCAACATATTATATTTATACTAAAATGAATGACTTGACCTTTGAGTGATTGAGAAATTCTAAGTATTATCAAACACCGGAAAAAGAGAATCAGGATCTAAGAAACCAAACACAAAATGAAACAATTTATCAACACTTAGGCAAGGGATAAAAGAGAATAAGCCAGAGGCTTTTCTTCTAACAACGGTGATTTAAAAAAAGAAACCCCAGTTATGGAGATGGGACAGTTGGCAAAGGTGCTTGCAGCCTGACGACTGATTCCTGGGACCCACATGGTGGGAAAACCAACTCCTATAAATAGAATCGATGATACTTCTCAGATCCCTTTCAATAATGCAGTGATTACTCTGATGTATAGGGGATCTCACTGTTGAAATGTGGCTCAACTTTCCCCCTTCTGTTGGAGAGGGGTTCTCCTGGTCAGCTTGCCTGGCTCACATATAATCTTTAACACTGCACTTTCTTCCTAACGTTCCCATACTTTTAATGCTGAAATCCCTGCCTTTTCTTGTTGAAGCTCTTTTAAGATGTCTTTAAAGTTTTCCTATCCAAACTACACATACCAGCAACTTTGGGTGCCTTGACTTACAATCATTTAACCAACCCTAGAGTAATGCTGAAGATATCGACAAAGGTAAACAACCAAGTTAAGGGAAATCGTTCTGTTCTGGGAGAAGATTAAAAGGAAAGACAAGTAAGTCTTTCCACAACACAGTCATAGTCCAAAATTGGGCTTCTTGTTATTAATATTCCCTACAAGAAGGAGTAAAGGTGAATAGATCAAAGCCAGTAACAAAGAACTCCTACCAGACTTCCAGGCCAGCAGTTTTCTATCACTGATCTTAAACAAGAGACTGGTATAAGATGCAAAAGGAGAAAAACCAGACGGCAGCAAAGTTTACATGCTAGCTTATGATTTCATACTCAGATTTCGTAAAGTTTGTAGTTGAAAAGGATAATCGTGCATACAAGTTGTCTAAGCAGTCTGAAAGAAATCTGGTAACAGGGTGAAGAATCAGCTTTTCAGTCTTAAGGCTCCTCTTCCTTAGTCGCATTACCCATATTCAAGACCTCCACAGCCACAAACAAGAGGTAGCTGTTGCATTAGACCACTCTTTCCAGACGGTTTACAAATGGAACTTTTCCTGCTACTTTTTGTTTTTTGGGGGGAAAATTTTCCTAGGACAAATGAGGAGATATATAAACTTTAAACTGTAAGTTATAATTCTCAATTTCCCCCCAGAAACTGAAGCCATTTCTTTGATTCAAAACAGTCAGCAGTGGGGACGGTAAGATGTAGCCAGGTAAGGTGCTTGTTAGGTAGAAAAAAAACAAAAAAAACCTAACTAACTAAATTTGGGAGCTTGGAGCCTCAGAAGCCATATAAGGACCAGGTGACAGTGGGGACTGCCTGTAACTTCAGCTTCAAAAATTGAGATGGGGATCCCCAGAGCAAGCTAGGTGTGGAGGCAAGCAGTGTCTGTGAACTCTGGGTTGCACCGCGAGGTACTGCCTTAAAGAATGCGATAGAAGAGCAGGCAGAAGACTCACATCCACCTCACCTTCTGCATATACAGATCCAAACACATACTACAGTCCACACATATGCAAACACCACACATTCACATACAAGCACACAACACATGCTTCCACATGAAAAGAAGAAAAAAAATGTCAGTAGTTTTCTATTTCTAAACTTAAGTGACTCAGCCAACATTGGGAGAAGTTCTCAATTCTCTTTCTTGATTAAAAATACTGCCAGCGACCATTTTACTGCCCCGCTTAGAAACTTCGTCATAGCCTAGCTGCCATTAATTCCTCATCATTTCTTAGCATCTTTTACCAACTTATTTCCTCTGTGGTAACCTACTTTCAGCTGCTGCTACCTTAAAACTTGTACACATCTTTGGAATTTTGGCCACATTTACCTTCTGAGACTCAGAACACAGCTGGAACCCTTGGTGACCATGTGAACCCACCTACTGTGAGTGGAAACATGTGCCCGGCACGCTCCAGAGATTTCCTTCCTGCCTCCTCCATGAGTCCACGGACTTGAGCTCCTTCTGTTCTTCTGACATCAGACCTTCCCCTGTATTCCACCCATTAGCTAGGGCATTCATCCATGCAGCTGCTTACATCACTAGGCTGTGACTGGTCTATTACTTAAAATTTGATAAATATCTGCATATTTACCCGTCTATTCTGCTGATAGTAACTCAGGCCATTACTAATTTGGAGCTAGAATTAAGATGAATACTTTTTACTGAAATACTGAAATAAATGTACACTGTACTATTTTCCTTCCCTTCATCATATTGATGACATAGTAAATGAATGCTGTACATAACACAATGTTAGACAAAAAATCAGGAACACAGCTTGAACAGAAGACACACCATGTACATCTTAACCCTTATACATGCTAAGGGCATGTATACCTTAATCGTTATACATGCCAAGTGCGTACACAGTAAATTCATATTACACAAATAGTCACAAGCTTTAACCAAATGGATAATAAAATCCAACTCTATTTATTATCACATTTTAGCATCTGCTCTGTTTTCTAAAAACATCAAGAAGAGATTAAGATAAAAATACCAAAATAATAAAAACGTTATTATTCCATCAACGTTCCAAGATAAAGCATATAAAATCACATAATCTTAATACTTTTTAATCTATGGGAGGATTTTTAAAGAGTTTATCAGTATTAACTTGGACACTGCTTAAAAATTCATTAAATTTAAACACATAAAAACTTTTTCTTAATATAAAATTAGCACCAACTTCCTGCCGTCACCTTAGTATCACTGAATTCAGGTCAAGACAATGCTTACTTGGTGTGAAACTTGGCAATGGCGGCTAATTTTTCTAAATGCACTAAATGAGCATTCTCCCATGTATAAGAAAAAGAAGACAGATGAATCAAACAGGAAATTTTTATGACAGTATAATAGCAATTAATGTGATTTCTATTTTAGCCATGTTGTCTTCCTTTAAATATGTTAAAATACATCTAAAACTTACTTTATCCTTAAAGATCCCATATTTTAATGTAAAAGCAGAGTGACAGAGAGCATTACGCTACCACTCAGCTTCATTCAGAAAACACGTATGTGCATGGACTGTCAGCTAGGCCTTCAAAAACCTGCTTTTGTGCCATGGGTTCTGCAGTTTGTGGAGCTCTGTAAGGCCGTAAGTCACACAAGGCAGAGAAAGCCAACAGGGCTGATGGGGTCTCACTCTTACCTCCCACTCTCTGGCTGCTGCGTCAGCTGCAGGATCTTCGTTTGCTTCAGACTCCTCAATCTTCTTGACGACTATGAACCCAGGCTCTCTGGTATATTCACCAGTATCTTCTGCATAGATTTCCGGACTCCACTGAATGAAGAAGGCATACAAGTGCTCTGTCCTGTTAGAGCGAACGGTTATTAATAGGCCTAGTATTATCTGCTATTAGCAAAGATAAAAGACTATATTTGTAAAATGTTTAGACAGAAGTTGAAGACTTTATTAAACAGTGAAGCCCACTATCAGGAAGACATTGTCTTTGAAAACAGATTTAGCTATCATCTGTCAAGTTCTAAACACATATCGCACTAAGACTTTCATTGGAAGGCTTGTTGCTATACCAACTGCAGTGATGCTTTCCTATGTAAAGACGCTAGCAGTGGGAAGGAACTCACACAGCATCCAAACTGAAGCGGCAGGACACAGTAAATCCTTGCTTCAGCGGTTGATGATCTAATCTTCCCGTATCTGCTTCCTCTTTCTGGTATTTTTATAACTGCAGTCAATGGTACTGGCTGCTGTACTATGCAATAAACATGTTCAAAGATCAAACGTCTATGTGCTTCCTGGCTTTAGTTAGCATGGAGAAGTGAACTACAAAACTGAGCTAACATGGACCAACCAATAGCAACGGCTCTAAGAAGGATGCATCCACCTCATGATCTAAAATGTTATGTGACACCTGACATATGAAAGGGCAGCAAGTTTTACCTTCCAGGCAATTAGTCACTATCAACAATTCTATTACGTTTTCTGTCTATGATAATGCCCAAAATTCCAATAATAATAATATTAATAAAAGCCAAGGTACATCTTAAGTATGACTTGCAATGAAATTTCTAACCTGGGTACTGAGATGGTGAGGCAGTATTAGTAGTAGGAGGGCTGACAACCTTTTCCCAGTTACGGTTACAACACTTAGGTCTGGAACCAAGAACAACACTAAAAGCAAAACTACATCTAAAAATTAAGAAATAACCAAGAATAATAAAAATGAAATTTTTTATGTTAGATTTCACTAAACAGTTACATTTGCACTATAATCACTTTAATCCCACTCTCTTATTCTCTAGGATCTGTTTCTTTGAAGTAGTGAATTGTGCAAATCAAACTGTTTTAATTACTAAACTCCCACTTTAAAAAGGAAGCACACATTACCTGGTGTATCTGGCAGTTGGGAAGGAGGGGAAGTGCGGACTATGGGATTTCCAAGCCGCACCTCTGCTCCTGCACCTGCCACTTGATTAGCTCTCCACTGGTACAGAGCATTACAGATAACCCAACCTGTCTTCTGCTTCAGGGGTGTTTTCCCAACCAGGAAGTAAGGGAATACGCTAACACATTCAGTTTCTTTAGGAGGGCATTATTAAAGTATAAACACTCTCAGGCTTATCAACTTTGGCAATGATGCTAGGAATAATTCTACATAAAAAGTCTTTTTTGTAAAACCCTGTCTCAAAACAGAAAAAAAAAAACCTATACATCCTTCAAGAAGGCTGTGCTGATACATTCATGAATTGTCAGTCTAAGATACTATATAAGTACTTTACTGTTAAAATATTCATGTTCCAATGTTTTCCAGTAAACTAAATATGAAAATTTTAAAGGCATAAACTAAGAAGTATCAGATAGTAGCTGATTTCCAGAGATTAAAACCACCTTGCTGACTTATAGCAGAGGACGGCCGTGACCATTCAGGGACCAGGGCAAACTGTCCCGTCCCAGCCTTTCTGGGCTGGAATTAAAGGTGGACACCACCATGGCCACTTACTTTTAGTCAGGAAATGGAGTCTTTTAGGACTTTGATTCTGGTGTTGTGATCTATAAAGGAATCTTGTAGGAAAAGCAGAAGTTTCGACGTTTTTAACTTACCTTTCTTGGGGCACTGCAAACCAATATTCATGTTTCTTATCTCTCTGTGCATACTGCTGCATGGTAGCACTGGCCTGAGACACAAAGGTTTTCCTCATCGGCTTTCCAACTCGGAGACACAAGAATTTGTGTAATCGATGCCTTCTCTTATCCTTTAGAAGTGAAGACCCTGGAAGGGTTATGTAAGCGGTGTCCATTCAGTCATAAAGTATGTCCAAGTGTCTCAGATGAAGTAATTTTACATTCTGGTTCCGAATTATAAAATAATGAATTTTACTGGTACTTGCACATATTCAATTAATTAACATTTATTTATTTATTTATTGGCATGGAAGATCTAGTTACTGAAATAGCAAGATTAAATGAAAGAGTCAAGTTAGTGAACTAAAATTTTGCTGAGGGCTATTAGGAAAAATGCAAAATCTCAGACTTTTCAATAAGTTGTTAACAACAGCTATGCTGAATTACATGAATCTGTAAAGCATTCTGTAGATTTTGTTAATCCCCTTAACAGAGAATCTTTTAAAATTACACCTAAGTCACTATACAGAATTTATAAATGGCTATTTTAATATGGCTATTCAAATATAAAAATTAATGTAATCTCCAGTCTACATACAAAGGTGTGAGAAATCAGCACTATACTACTAGCTGCAGAGCAACATTGGACGGCTCATTATGTCTAAGTTATCTCCAACCAGAGGCGTACATTATTTGGAGTCTGACAGTAGGATTAAGTCTGTGAACACACGGACATTGATTAGCTTGTTTCAGTGCAGCCCCTGCCCCGGCAGGGCAGTAAAGTACAAAGTGCACAACCTGCCTGCCCCAGCGTGAGCCACTGGTTAGAAGAAGGAATGTTGGCCGCTCTTGTTCTTTCCATTATTGTATGCTACAGTTTACTATTTATCACAATGATTCCATCTTATGAAATAATAAATTTCAAAAAGCTTTAATATTTCCATATTATATACTATTGCTACTAAAAATGCCCATTTAAAACTAATGTTTTATTAAGAAGAAGAAACCAATGGTACAACTCAATGAAAGCTATATCAAAGTGCCTACTTATTTTCTTCTTTTGGCATGTGGCTATAATAATCTATTATATATTAATTCTCATAGCCTATAAAATTATATGTTTAATATATTTATATTTATATATTTAATTGAACAGAAATTAGTTTCTAACCATTTTCAAAGATTTAAAAAAATATATAAACCAAATATTCTATATAAAGATCTTAATGCCAATGTTACTTATACCAAAGGGAGTAGCCATCTGAACAGTCTGAATTGCTAAAAACAACAGGCAAATGGCTGGATAAATGATAAGACTGATAAAACCACATTTTGACAAAACTATAATGTAAATACAAAAGTGAACACCACACAAATGTTAAGTGAAATGAAGCACGAAATAGCAATACATATAGTACAATCCTGAGTTTATACTCAAATCTGTATGTACACATAGACTCAATTATCAATCAAAACCAAAATGCCTTCCACAGACCTGTAAGGATGTTAATACTAGTTGATCATCATTGGTAATAAATTCCAGATAATTTTATAAATTGTGTTATAACTTCTTCTATTTGACAATGTTCCTAATAAGTGTTCATTCTGTTCTGAATAAAGAAAAAAATACTGTAGAAAAAAGTTCAGCCTTTAAAGAAATTGCTTTGAATAAATGCATTTATTAAAAACTAATCACTATAATCTTAGGTTTCAAAGTATCTCAGTGGGATGATACAAAAAAAGAGTATTTTAAAAGCTGAATGTTGAGTCTGTATTACATGTGTTGGAAGACGGAGGGAGGACCAAGTCCTTCTGGGACGGAAGAGACCTTATCTCAAAAGAATACTCTTATTTCTTAGGCTTTTGAGACATTCCCTTGCTGGGCAGACGAGGCTGGCCTCAGCACTAAGGGAGTCTTCTTGCCGCTGCCTATAAGGCGCTGGAATTACAAACAATTACCAGGGATGTGCAGCATGTCAGATCGGGCCAGACCTCTATCAGCTGCTGGGGAGATGAAATGACACACAGCAACTATGGAGAACAAGTGGATTCTCAGAAAAGCAAACAGCTGTGTGATCTGGCAATCCCTCTTCTGGTATATGGGAATGACTGCCCCCTCACAAAATAACCATCCAAAAACTGAAAGGAGGGGCTACAGCGATACTTTATTTATGTTTTAATAAATGAAGCTTGCCTGAAGATCTAAGCCACTAGAGTCAGGCAGTGGTGTCACACACCTTCATAACCCAGGATTTACGAGACTGAGGCAGAGGGATCTCTGTGAGTTCAAGGCCACCCTGGGCTACACAAGAGCTACACAGAAACAGATTCAGGTGGTGGTGGCTCCCACTTTTAATCCCAGCACTAGGGGGAATGTAAAAATGGGAGGAAACAGAGCTTCAGGGCTCAGTCTGCAGCCACCCAGCCTTGGTAGAGGTAAGACTTCTCTAGTGGCTTGGTTGTTTTGCTTTTCTGATATTTAGTTCGAACCCCAATACTGGTCTCTGGATTTTAATTATTTGTGCTACAAATGCTGCCCAAACATTTCACAAGTATTTCTACATTTAAAAAAAAAAAAAAAAGGATTCTAAACAGACAAGAACAAAGTCAAACATGGCTTTTTGGTAGCAGCATTTCTTGGGTGGGTTCTGTTTGCTGGTGGCAAGCAGAGGCACGGCTCCTTTAAGAGAGGCTTCCTAACTCAGTTTTAGCAGCAAAAACCTCGAAGTTCTTTTAAGAGGCTCTGCCACCAAACAGTTATTATGAGCAGCCACCATCAGGCTTCTTTGGACCTAGATACTCCACAGAGTTGTGGCAATAAATGTGACTTCTTCCAGTACCTCCACCATGAAGCTCGACTCTCAAAAAGCTAAGAAATGGGGTGGAGCCAACAGCCAAAGCCACAGCTTTAATCCTAGTCATATCACTTTAGCGTTTGGTCAGAAAAAGACATATACAGTAAAGGCAGAATAAGACAAAACAAAACAAAATAAACCTCTAAACAGTTTACACTGTGTTTAAAAACATAAATAGGTTTGGGAGAGAAAGTCCTTAAAAGAGAAACAGAGTAAGAAAAAAAGCCACATAAAGATGGAAAGTACACAAAGAGTCTGGATACTGTATGTTATTGTGTTGTCTTTGAATTGCTTTATTGCTGAGGAAGGAGCAATAGCTCCTAAAAGACATTTGCCTTCAATGCTGGTGGATTAGTCCAAACAAAATTCAAAAATTAAAAATTCAAGTCAAAAGATATGTCACTTTGGAGAAAATATTTTGCTTTTGTTTCCATAGAAAATGAGAGGCTGTGGATTCATTCTGGGTTAAGAAAAATAAGGTTTGGTCAAGGAAGACCCCCTGAGAAATCTCAAATGGGGATGAATGATCCTGATGACCCAATGTTTCAGAGCACCTCTGTTGCAGTTTCCTCTGAGTTCTACAGCCAGAGCAGCCTCAAGACTGCTGGCGGAGATGGTCCAGCTTCACAGAATACTAAAATCAGGACCTGATTATAATCTTAAATTTTCTTGGACTCCCCATAGGAATATCAGCGCTCCGAATCAGCAGCTGATTCTAGAGATTCTAGAAAACTATGCCCACATTCCCAAAAAATGAATTATGGATGTTTGATTGTTTAGAGTGTTGGTTACAAGTTGTTATGAATAATCGTCAAGGAAAAAACTAAACAAAGGACGTGAGATTCAGAGTTCTTGTGTTGAAAAGAAAAAACTGAGGGAATGATGTGGAATAATCCTCTTATACACTGGAGAGATTTGTCACTTATATTAGTTTAATAAAACACTGACTGGCCAGAAGCCAGGCAGGAAGAACAGGTGGGGAAACCAGACTAGAACTGTGGGCAGAGGAAAGACAGAGAGAGAGAGTCAGTCACCAGCGAGACACAGAGCAAGCAAGATGAGAATGCCTCGCTGAGAAAAGGTATCAAGTCATGAGGCTAAACATAGACAGGAATTATGTATTAAAATAAGTTGTATGATCTAGTTAATAATAAGCCTTAGCTAATAGGCCAAATGGTTTATAATTAATATAAACCTCTAGGTTTCTTTGGGTCTGAACGGCTGCAGGACCTGACAGGACATAAACATTCACCTACAAGGGATTCCTTTTTATACAAACTTTATTCACTGCAGGATGATTTGCAATACTATCTATATGACTGGATTTTCTTAGCATTAACCAAAGACTCCCCGAAACTGCTGGCAAACAGCATTTATATGCAGAAATGTTAATTCTTTGGACTTCCAAGAAAAGGAAATTTTTCTTACACACACACACACACACATATTCCTGAGCACATAAGTATAACCTACCCAGTCTGTATATAGCAATTAACGGAAAGAGAGGTCATGACTTTAAAAGAGAGCAAGAAGGAGCATAAGGGAGGGCTTAGAGGGATGAAAGTGAAGGGGAAAATGATGCAATTATATTATATAATCTCAATAATAAGAATAATAATAAAACAGGCCATATTTAAGCACATTTATAATAGAGATGAATGGTGAAAGCATGATGCTGAATGAGAGGTAACACAGAAACTATGTGGCTCTCTTATGTGAATGGCCTGGAGTAAGGAGAACCCTGAGCGCATACTGGTGGTGACCGGGGAAGGGCAGGAGTGACAGACAGTTCACTGCTCAGTTACAGTCGTGTTTTCATAAAGATGCTGAAAGCTCCCAAGATGCATGCAGTGAAGAGTATCCAACAGTATGAATATGCTGATGCCCACAATCTGTAGAGCTCAAAATGGTTAAAATGCTTAATTTTATGATATGTCTATTTCATAATAAAAAAGTCAAAATGGTAAATTTAGCTTGTGTATTTCAGTAAATTGGTAAATTTAACTTTTGTATTGAAGTAGAATAAAAATCTGAAATTAAAGTAGTAACTAGAGTTCATATGAGAATTTATAAACAACTCTGCAACAGAACTGAGAATGTAACCAAGTTATCTGAGCCACAGTGTATGACAGATGGGCTCAGTACATTCGTAACAGAAGCTACTATGCTAATTCTCACATCAACAAAAACCTGAGCTAAGGAAGGAAGCCGAGCACCCTGCATGCTTGTTTTTAAAAGAAACCATCTAAGCAAAGAGAGGCGGGATTTTTATGTGGACAAAAAATCCTAACTGTGTCCAATGGTGTTTTCTAAAAAATTATATATTAAAACCTTGGCAGTTATAAACTGTAATTCAAATGTCAAATATGCGATGATAAAATCATACCAGGACCTTATGAAAGTAATCAATGTGTTACACAGGGCAGGTGCACATCATAAGGCAAACGACAGAGAATGCAGAGAGTTAAACAAAAGGATGTTCAGAGACTAGGCCCTGCATCAACACGCCCCCCCCCAGAGTGACGTCACTCAAGGACCATCTGACAGTCATTCTGACAGACCTAATCTGCAGCCTTTGGTCAGAGAGGAAGGAAGAAAACAATGTGCAGAACACCAGACTGAATTCACACCTCCCTAACCCTTACCGTCCACACGTCCATCCACGGGTGCCCCTTGATGTTTCCCTTCTTTCTGGGACGCCTGCTGGATGCTGCTGTCTCTTTGCTGCTTGGCTCGCTGCATCGAGTGGCTTTTCCAGAGTTTACGCAGCTCCTCTACTTCAGTCTCTGAGTCCCGCTTTTGCTCTTTCCCCTGTCTATCCTTCTGAACAGTTTGCTTTTCCTTAAGTTCCACTGCTTCTCCAGAAGGTACACTCCCTTCTCCTCCCTCTTGCTGTAGTGAATTTTCATGACGGAAAGAAGAATCCCGGTCACCATGACTTTTTACATCTATGCTTTGCTCTTTGGGGCCTGAGACTTCAAGTTTTTCTGTAGCCTTATCTCCTTCCTTAGTGGCGAGTTCAAGACTACTTAAATCAGTTTCATGAGATAAAGCCTCTTGGTTTGAAGAATGTTCAGTATTGGAGTTAACGTGGTCAGGAATGTTAGGAGACTCTGACTTGACTGCCACCGACTCCACTTCCATCTGACTGATGGTTTGCACAGACTCTGAGGACGCGTCGGATGACTTATCCTGCCGCGGCTCGGAGAGGAGCTCCTCCCGGATGGGAGAGAGTTCTGACTCGGAGAAGACGTCCTCGGAGAGAGACTCCCCGGTGCTCCTGGGAGCTGTGCTGGCGCTGTCATTACCCGGGTCGCGGGCTCGCGAGTCCGTTTCCTCAGCAGCAACGCCTGTCATTTTCTTAGAATGGCAGAAGTCCCTTCCTGACAACTGGTCTAGTTCTCTGTTATAAAATAAAATTAAAAATTACTAGACATTAAAACTGTAACATTTTACATTCCACAACCAAATTAAAAAAATATCATAGAAGAAGCATTTCAAAATAGGCAAAGTGTAGTCCTCAACAAAAATAGAAACATCATGTTTTTCACATACACCACATACTCACATCAAGAATTTCCATCAGCTGTTTACTATTGATGAAACATCAATGAAGATTTCTCTGTAAGTAACCTTCAACCAAGTTTGATAACTTAAATTCTTGATGAACTTATAATAGTGAACTAAAACTTTTATTGGTAGAGCACAGAAAACTGGCCATTTCAACCTATCACATTCATAATCAGTGCTTATTTATATGAAATTAAACTAAAATACAAACTATAATGCAAAGCTTAAGAGCAACCTGAGGCCCAACATTTAAAGGAAACCCTAAGCTAGTAACTCAGAACAGTTCTAAGAGAAGCTGCTCAGTTAAAGGACGAAGAAGTCAGAGGTGAATGCTTTACAGCCGGGTCTCATTTTCACCATCACTCACATCTGTCAGGTGAATACCAACGTCCACAAGTGGGAAGTTGTAGAAATAAGCATCACTGAGTGAGTCAGCAATTTAGACTGATGATTAAAGCTGCTTCATAATAACTGGAAATTATTTGAAGTGTCAGCAGCAAAGCATCAATATTTGTCCATATATGGTTAGAGAACAGAAATATGCCAGATAGAAAGACTAGAAAATAAATCAACACAGAATAAGTGGCCTTCTGTGGATATTAAAGCTGATTAAGTCTCTTATTTAACTCTTGTGGTTTTCAAGTTTTTGTAAGAAAACATATACTTTTCCAAGTGAGATGTGTAAAATGTCATTATTTTAAACATTTCGTTTAAGTGCCTTCTGTCTCTACTGGATTCATCTTTTTGTTTGGTTTTTCAAGACAAGGTTTCTCTGTTGGATTCATCTTTTAAGAAATACAGGCAGCTGACGATAATGAATGTGAAATGGTGCCATCTATTGGTGACTTGCTTAAACTGCAACCACAGGGTCAAGGAACTGGATACAAGCTTCAGGAGATCTTGTTGATACATTTAACAGAATCAAGAGACTAGCTGTTAAAAATTAAAAAAAAAAAAGATAAGTATCTAGGTGAATTTTCTAACCTGATATTAATATTATGGATGGCTAAACGTTAATGCTAGCGGCACCTAACAGAACACGGTTCAGAACAGCACCTTAGAAATCAATTCCCCAAACATCACAAAGAGGCAAACCATTAGCATCTTCTACTTTACTTCTGTAAACAAAATACTACCCTGCGAAACCATTCGCTGCACTCATCTTGCCTGAAGCCAAACCTTGATTTCAATTAACACATAAGCCAAGACTTAAGGGTATTTCTTCCCAGGTAATGTGTTGATTGATAAAATGGTCATTTAAAGGCAAAGAGCACTTGGTCTTCCTGCAGCGCAGCCACACGTTACCCAGAAGATCTTTCAGAAACTCAGTGTCAGGACAAGATGGCACCACTGAGCGGCGGTCCTCCTTCCCTTCGGAGCTAGCCCTTCGATCTCTGCCATTTCTACACTGAACCTCAGTGACTGTGGTTTGTTGGAGGTCTTGTTTTATTTTCCTGAAATAGGCTTTGACTGACAACTTAAATACAACCAGTAGTTTAGAATATTTTTTCTAGAAATTATTTGTTTCTAAAGATTATTTTACCAAGTCACAGAGCACTTGAGGCTGAAATGGACCCTTTTCCAAGACGGGGTTACCCTAACAGCGTTCACACTACCCGAGAAAAATAATTGCTCCTTTTTCCTTTATAATTCCTTTTTTAAACTGGTAATAAGACTGTAAACCATCTGCTACCAGTTAGGGTGAAGCCGTTTTCAAGTGGTTGCCAGTCACGTGTGGAGTGGGTGGGACTTCCTTTCTGTTACACATCAACCCTCTTACTCTCTGCTTTCCCTCGAATGCTCTATCTCCTTTCTCTCCAAGTCTTTTACATTTCTGCCGACTACTTGTATACACATTGCTTTTAAAGGCTTTGCCTAGAAGTGTGGTCTCACATCTATGTTATCCATCACACAGATTCCCACATCAGGACATCCCCAGCTCAACTCTCAATTAGTGCCACCTGTAGGTTGTCTCTTTCGCGGTCTGCACTCCAGAAGGACAACTGTAACCGTACCGTAACTGTAAATGTAAAGCTGCTCTGGCTATTGCGATGCCAGGCCTCATCCATGCCACACCCCAAACCCAATGCTATGCTTTAGGTCCTTCATGGACATTAATAATACACTCTAAGCTGGATTTTTTTATTTTGTGGCTAAATAACAAAGAACTGAAAAGCATTGAGTTACATGAGTACTACAGCTTACTTGTCAAATATCTGGTTCTTTGACCAAATAAATGCAAATACAACACAAGTACTAACTATATACCAGGCACACTAAGAACTGACTAGTCATTAGTGCTTAAATGTGGCTTCATTACTGAAAAAAAGAATACCATCTATACTAAAATTAATAAAATAAGAATATTTGAGAAGGGTCAACTATCTAGATGCTAAAAAGACAGAAAAGAAAAGAAAGAACGGAAGGTAGGAAGAAAAAAGAAAAGGAAAGGAAAAGAAAGGCTCAGTGAACAGCACACCAGCACACTTACGTGGGCAAGGACTCCTTTATTTTGCTATCCAAAATTTCTTTGTACATGGCAGCTGACATCACCTCTTCCATTGGACACATGATGCCGTACTCCTCACAGCCATTCTCTTGAACCAAGGGGTCTGTTTTATGTGGATCGAACATTATATTATTTGGTGTGACTAGCAGCACGCCACTGACGGTGCCCTAAGATGGAAAAACAAAGAACTTTTCAATCTTCAAAGTTCGCAACTTCAAAACAGAGTCCAGATGCCTCTGCTATTTCTTCTCGGATTTCTGGCCATCTACTTTATACACAGTACAATCAGGGCTCCAGTTTTCCACCCACTGCTGGAAGGGTTTCTAAGTTGCTTCTACTTTCTGCACTAAAGAAGGTGACACCTTCCCCACTGGATTAATTAATCTGCGTTAACTTTCTTAGAATCCATTCTTAGGGCCTAAAAGGATGCCCAGCTAAAACCGTCAGGCTTCTTTCCTCAAGGTCAATTTCATGAAAATCTCAAGAACAGACCATTTCAAATTCATCTGACTGAAAGTCTAAAATCGTACACCCTCCACAAGAAACACACCCTACAAAGACAGCCTGAAAGCACAGGAAGGACAAACCATGTTAACACTTCCCAAAGGAGGTGCGAACGGCTATAGCAGTATCCGCGACATGGACGTCAGGCAGGGCACAGATCCTGAGGTCAATGTCGGCACTTCACCATCAGTCAGTAAGTACATCAGGACAGTGTAGGAATCCTAAACATTTCTACATTCCTATAGCACACTCAAATTCATCAATTATCAACTGAAAGCAGAACACATTTGTAATGAAACAGTTCCACATCCTTGTCATTAATTTAAAGAAAAAATAAGAAATCAATAGAGATGCAGAAGAATACTAGCATCGCCTGACTTAATTTCATGGATATTTCAAAATATTTTTCAAAACTGAAGCAAAATGCATGTGTTTCTTAAGCATACACAAAAGATCTGTCAAGATATTCTGGGTCAGGAGATAAGCCACCCTAGAGTAAGCCTTCACATAGGAGTAAGGATGTTCTCTGACCACAGGGGACCAAATCAGAAATGAGTTAACTGAAACCTACACTCTCTCCAAGTATTCAAAAACAAACCAAAGCACTCCAAAAGGTTACATACTTGCCCCAAAGTAGGAATGTTTATTCCTGTTCTAACAGATTGAAGAACACACCTAAATACTTTTTATCATGTAGCATATAGTGAATTTCAATTTCTGTATTACACTAAGTTTCAAGAGCTAGCACTCCTACCATCATCACTGCTGCTGTTTTAAAGATGTGTTTAATATTCTAGGAAAAACCACGACATGTGCTTTGTCTCAGTGAATTGATGTATATCCCACGACCTTTAATATCTGCTACAGACCATCAGACTCTAACTAATGGGCAAGGTCCATTCTAACTCAAACCCTTGTATAAATACTCACAAATGGCTGACATTATTGACTTAAATGTACATGTCAAGCTTTCATAGCTTAATAAAAACTACAATGCAGTTCATTACCTTGCCATTGGTGATATATTTGCAATTAATTTTGAGAAATTTCTCAGTAAATGCTTCTTCTTCCTCAGAAGTTGAAGACACAACTCTTGCAGGCCTAATACTGCTGGCAGTAGATGAGGGAGGTGCTTCTTTTGGATGGACAGCATCAGGAGTCTTAAACAAAGCAAAATAAAACACACACAACAATGTGCGTTAGGAAGCTAAATAAAGGCATAAGTAATGGCAAATAAATAACCTTCCCAGTAAGTACTAGTCTCTTTTCTTCTTACCACATTCTTTAGATAAATTCCCCAAAGTGTAACAATAATGGCATTTTTACTTTTAATGAAGATTTTAAATACATCTTAAACTTCCATTTTAAATGCCTATAATACAGGGATACAAATGAATTATACCTACCTGTATATGTATTATACACACACACACACACACACACACACACAAAACGACATAAGAAGCATTCAAATCTAAGTGACTTACATCCCTCCCAATCCCAGCACAAATGTGCAACTGCTTGTGAATTAAACCACTGGTTTTGATAACACCAAGGTGGCATCCATGAGATGTGTATGCCAGCGCACAGAGACAGGGAAGAGCTGGACAGTGATATCTAGATATAGCAAGCAAGAAGACAGTCATTGGAAGGATATTTTTCCACTGTGTATATGGCTGTGCGTGTGTGTTACACGTGGAAGTTTGCAGGTACATGGTGCACATGTGTTACTTGTGTATATTGAGCTCTGAGGCACAGGGTCAACAAGTCATTCTCTATTGCTTTTCCACCTTATTCACGGAAGAAGGAAGGATGCCTCAATCAAACCCAGAGTTCACCCAGGTGTCTGGTCTTCCCTTCTTCCGTTTGTGCCTTCTGTGGTGGGAATTACATGCCGAATTAGCGTCTAAGTAGGTTCTGGGGATCTGAACTCTGGTCCCTACACATGAACACTTGAGCTACACCCCTGCTCCAGAAGCATACTTTAAACTTCAAAATCAAAAGTCCATCTGTGCCCATCTGCAGCGCATCAGACTACAGTTCAGTCTGACTATAGGTTATTTCTGCAGCTAATTCATAGGGCTCTTCTCAGCTGAGTGCTTAAAATACAGAATTGTGAAGAAAAGCAATTATACTGAAACACAGACATAGCAATACTTAAACTGGAAATAGGTGATAAGGATACTCTTCAGCAGACTGTTTAAATGACTATGAATGAGCTTATCATTTACCTAACGTAGTAAATTCTAGCTACTTCCATCACATTTACTCTATGGTTTCTTATTCTTCTTCATCCACATTTGAATAAAAGGGAATAGTTTGAATGTTTAAACTTTCAGAGATAATATTTCTATGTGAAGCAAATTATTTAAAAATATAAATGAAAACTCATATGTTAACAAATCCATAAATAAAGTATGTTAGGCTTATACATAATGTACTAAACAAAACTGAACATTCAGGAAGCCAAACAATATTTATTTTAAATACTGAATGAAAATTTCTGCAATAAACATATAGTAGCTATACTAACAGACATTATTTAACATAACGCTAATATGTATCATACATAACCAAAGGTAATACTCAAACTTAATAGTCTTTCTTCTAAGACTATATATTATCAGAAATGTAATAGTATAGAAAGCAAACAGTAGTTACAATGCAGAAATGTAATCACCTCAGATAAACAAAAGTTACATAGGAAAAATATCTCTGTTCAGTAATAAATTCAATGTTATGCAAAGAATACAGTTACAATTTATAAAAATCACTGTTCAAAATAATGTTCTAGCTGTGGAATGCGGACTCTTGGGAAGAAGGTGATTCCTGCCCTAGGCTGGAGAATGCTTCATGGCTCTTCTATTTCTTAACTAGTCTAGGAAGGGAAAGATTCTGGACCACACCTAAGACAGCTGAGTCACTAGGGTTAAGGGGTCACTCACAAAGCTTTGTTATTCTCTTTCCCTACCTGGCAAAGGACAGATGGTGGTGACCACTCCCACTGGGAGAGGATCTGCTCAGGTGACCACTCCCACTGGGAGGGTATCCGCTCAGATGACCACTCCCACTGGGAGAGGATCTGCTCAGGTGACCACTCCCACTGGGAAGGATCTACTCAGGTGACCACTCCCACTGGGAGAGGATCTGCTCAGGTGACCAATCCCACTGGGAAGGATCTGCTCAGGTGACCACTCCCACTGGGAGAAGATCTACTCAGGTGAGCACTCCCCCTGGGGGGGGAATCTGTTCAGGTGACCACTCTCACTGGGAGGGGGGATCTGCGTTTATTCTCTCTCTTTTTTTTTTTTTTTTTGACTGATTTCCTTTTTTATTTCAAGCATTCAAATTAGGCCAGGAGACAGACAGCTGTGGTCTGAAGGGAATCCCACAGGTTTCTGGTGGGAAAGTTCCTGCTATTTACACAATTCTACTTTAGGGCTAGAAGCCCAATCTAAATCAACCTCTGACTACATTTATATTTTCTTTGCTATTTCTCCTTCTGTATCAAGGTTGGCACCCTGCTGATTGGTAGAAACGGTTTAAAGTTGTTGTGTTCTTGTCTCCAATATCCATCATTAAACTCTGACTTCAGCTTCCATTCATCTTACGGATGAGAATGAATGTAACTCTCAATCCCCAAATCTAAAATGTTGTGAAATCAAAAACTTTCTCAACAGTGTTGCAAAAGGTCAAGCAGCAAATTCCTGACCTGGGCGATAGCACAAGGAAAGTAGTGTGACAGATTATCCATCAAAAGTGTCCACTGCTAAGGCGTGGGAAACACAATTTGTATTTAGGATTGTTTCTAGTCCTAAGGTTTCCATCTTCCCCCCTTTATCCATTCCTCTCTCCCCTTCCCCTTATTCTTTGTATAAACACATACATAGACACCCACATCAGCAGTAACGCAGACACACACAGACACACAGACACACAGACACACAGACACACACACACACACACACACACACACACACACCCCAGGACGGGAGAACTTGAATACTAAACTTAGAAACTACAAGTGGAATACCATGAGTAGCATGTATACTCCATGAGTTCTACAGGAATAGCTGGAAGTAGGGTACTCACAGTGGTTTTATCAAACTCAGCCTCGGAGGACGTCGGCGACAGAGGACTTACTGGGCTCAGAGATGGAGAGCTCTCAACACTGGAGACATATTCAGGATCAGGAACATATAAAACCTGTAAGAAAATATTCATATACAGATTCAGAAAAACAAATATCAACGGCCAAATAATGTTCTATAAGGAAGCATTATTTGATACTGATCTTTGGCAATAAAAAAATTCAGATTATAACAGTAGAACAGTATATCATATGTCATAATAAGTATGAAAAAATAATAATAGACACTTTAAAAGTAATTTCACAAATTAATTTATAAATGGGCATTAAAACAAGCACATAGCACAGAAACAAAACTCTATACTACTGTATGTGGTCATTTTAAAGACAACTTGGCAATTACTAGAGAAATTAACTATACATATTTCCTTGGCCCAACGGCGCTACAGGTAAGAATTTGTGCTGTGGCGTGTATATAAAGCGTACGCAGACAGTGTCCGCTGCAGCAGTGTTCACTGAGCAGGACAGCAGCTACACTAAGCTCACTGTGGACGACTTACACAGGGGCATACCAAAGCAGCCGTCACTACAGACGAGGAAATCTGTCAGAGTGCTGTACTCACGCAGGGCATTTGCTAAGGGTCACAGACAAACTTACAAACAAGCAAAACCCCCTGATATAGACTAGACAGTTTCCAAAAGATTCAATTTGTTAACTTGCTTACAGAAAGCAAGTTAGACTGAAAGACAGCTTACCTTTAAACATATTGAATTCTGTCAATTTTCATGAACTGTTTTAAGTCTTTTTAAAAGTTCTGAAGTCTATATTTGAAACACAACTTACGATTATTTTCAATTGTTTTAAGAAGGGCATTAATAGATGTGACCTGTACTTTTTTTTATCTGGCTAGCAGGATTTATTCCAGGAACACAAAATATTATGCTCATATTTTCTACATTGTTAACTACGTAAAAAATGAAGAAGTTCTACCTAATAATTTCAAACATCAATACATTTAAATAATAACAATACCTGCCCAGTCACGACAGCTCGGGAGAATAACTTATTTAACTGAACAAGCTCGTTCGGTGTGGTATCAAATTTCAGGGCTATGCTATTCAAAGAATCCCTTGATTCAACCTGATTAAAAGGAAAAACAGATTACTTTCAACTGTTAACACAGAAAAATTAAATTATAATATTGAGTGGTTATGTAATAGTAATACATCTTGAAAACAATCTTATGTTTGATTCATAAATGATAGTTTCTGAGAAAAACACTCTAAAAATACCGCATTCTACAATGTTCTCAACCTACTAAGACACAGAGCGCGGCGAAATGTGTGCTCTGCCGCGGCGCATACTGGCCAACAACTAGAACGGTTTCCAAATACAAACTAAAGCTTTAAAGCATGTTCCCTTTACGAAAGCAGTGAAGTAACTAGGTAGAGCTGCTCAGTGCTTAGGCGCTTGGACTGCTCATGCACAGAGCCAGAATTTGAGCCCCAGTCCCAGGTTAGACTGCTCCCAGTGATCTCTAACTCCAGCTCCACGGGCCTGAGTTAGCTGCCTCCTGTGCACATGCTCCCATCACACACAAGTTAGAGACAGAAAATGCAGCATCACAGCATGATGGAAGAGCTGCAGTTTCCCAAACAGGAAGTCACAGCAGAAAATGCAAGCATCCGGGAAGTCAGGGACAGAAAAAAAAAAAAAAAAAAAGTGTGCCATAGGTCAGGAAACTAGAAATGACATGTTAAAGAGGAGATAGGGGTCCTAAGGAAAAGCGGGGAAAGAGGGGACAGAGAATGCATGGGATACTATTGGAAGAAGGAAGGAACCAGCCAGAAGAGGGTAAGGGGTGCTTGGGGAAGGGAAACCAATTAGAACAAAGACAATAATGACATATACGCATGACAATTGCATCATGAAGCTGATTATTTTGCAGGTCACTTGAAACTTTAATAGAAATAAAGGACAGAAAAAGTAAAAGCCAGAAGGATGAAATGATCAACAGCAGCAAAAATAAAAAGCCAATGGATTTAATAATTGGAAAATATTTCAGTAGAAAGATATACTAAATTATCAAAAATGATAATATATAACATTCTGAATGTGTATATAGAGTTTATAAATATATATGTATATGTTTGTCTGTACATATGTGTACAAGAATGTGTAGAGGACAGAGGTCAATGACCAGTATCCTCTATGAATGTTTTTTACCTTGTATTTTGAGACAATCTCTTGTTCATATTCGAGCTTATTAAAGTACTCTGGCTGGACACCAAGTTCCAGAGATCTGTCTGTTTCCATCTTCCCTCTGCTGACTTACAGACACACATTCTGACACCGTGGCCTGGCTTCTTACACGGGTTCCAGGTCTTCTGTCTGCTGACTTACAGACACACACTCTGACACTGTGACCTGGCTTTCTATACGGTTCTAGAGATCTAAAATAAGATCCCCAAGCTCACAAGGCCAGTGTTTGACCAACTGAGCCATTCCCAGACAGTTTGCCTGTAGAACATTTTTATGGCCCTACTTTAATTCCCATTAAAAGTGATTTTACAATTAAAACTGTATTGTGTGTGTTCTGATTTTAACTCTTTGGTGACTTAAAATATAATGATTAACTTTATACTATGGAAGGTAGTATTGGAAATATATTAAGCTAGATAACATTTACTTTTAAAATGGCTTGTCAAAGTTTCTAGAACTCTTGGGGTCAAACAACCCTGCCTTGCCTCAGCCTCCAGAGGGCTGGGACCACAGCTGCATACAACTACACCAAGTAAGGAGCATAAGTATTGTAAAGGAAAGAGCTTGAAGAGTACATTGTGCTCTAAGGGAAATACATGCAAATACAAAGCGCAGCCAGTACAAAGACATGCTATGTGAAGGTTTGATAGACTTTATGTAAGTATTCTGAAGATTATAAGTAACAAACAACAATATCTAGCTTTGAATTTTACGTTTCTTACACTTCATAATTTGACCTGTGTAATAAATAAATAGGCTCTAATAGGCAGGTGTTTTATGGTTGCTGGTCAGTATGTGAGTTTTGAAAGAGTCACTCATGAAGAAAAGAATTTTTTTTTTCAGATTTTTTATGACCTGCCCTCACTCCACAATAAATGGTTCTTATTTTAATTTTGCTTCAGGTATCTTATTACAGTCCAAGAATGGCAAACTCCTAAATTCAAAACCAACAAAATCTTACAGTTCATGAACATCAAAAACAATTATTATATACATCTTTGTAACATGATATACCTTATGCCTCAAGTTTTAGCTTTGTAAACATTTAAGAATATACTAAATATTATTACCTAATTTTTTACTATTTGAACTTATTTTCTCACCTCAACCCTATAGACACAAACATACATAACTTAGGGTTGTAATGGGCTTTAAAATCCAATTTTTTTTGACAGAAGTTAATTTAATTCTACTTAATATGTTGTTTCTAGCCTTTTGAAAATACTTAATGACAAATTTTAACTACACAGTATATACTTATGTTTATATATATACTGTGTAATTGAAATTTGTCATATATATATAAGCATAAGTCAAATTTTGATAATGCTCAAGAATTCACAGTAGGCTAGGCTCATGCTGGAAGGTTTGAACACTGAAGAAGTTGAAGGTTGCTACTTTCTCCTTAATACAGTCATAATGTAAAAAAAAAACATACCAAGTAACAAAATTAATATGACTTCATACATTTGCCTTACATGTTTAGCACCACCTAAATCAATCACATTTACATCCAGCCAAGTAAAACACTACCCTCCAAAATGAATTAGTTACTTCACCTGTCCACAGTACCCAGAAAAGAGGAAAAATCAACATCTCAGAGACCTGAGGTTAGTTCAAGAACAGAAGAAAATCCTACCTCGACAGCTGAACTTCGCCCTCGCCTTAGTTTGTGAGGGTTTCACCTGTCATCAGCCCTGCTGGGAACCCAGTCAAGCACACATCCCTAAGATGGCAAGCATCTTCCAAAAAGCCTAATTAAATGAAATGATTGCGAAAAAGGAACTCTGACTCTAAATTATCATCAATATTAAATGTGATTTGCCAGAATAACGGTCTTTGTAGAACACAGCAAGAAAAACAATTATAAAATGCAATAAAAAAATCAAAGGACTATTACTAAGAAAAGTTACACAGAAGTCCGACTTTTTAAAGGAGGCAATTAACAATACTTGTCTCATCTGCAGCCAAACAGGAAATGCCTTTAGAAAGATTGTTACAAAGATAAATTGCTTTGCTATAGTAACTTACAGTATACTCAATAGTTCCTTTAGGCTTCTGGAAAGACATCCTTCGTCCATCTTTCTTGTCTTGGTTCTTCTTTTGGCCAGTGTCTACGAAAATCAAAGCAAAATGCCTGTTAACTCATTTTCCTACAGAGTAATGCCAACAACTGCAGGAAGACGCTCACTGCCAGCCATACAATCTACTGATTCGGAGAGACATTACGATAACTGCTATTACTATTATTAACTAATCTCTACAAAAGATACCATTAATCTGCACAGGAGAAATTCTCCATAGATCATAGAGACAGTCAGCTCTATAATACAACATGAAAATGCTAATTTTAGATGAAATGTTAACTGTTTTTCTCATGCGGCCCTTTTACCATCAGCAAAGGTGAGCTCCTGGCCTCAGTCTGAAATCTGGGCCTTTTAGGCTTCCCTGTACCAGTGCCTACATGTCCTGAAGTGGCAAACACCACATTATCCAAACGTCTTCAGTGAGTAATGTGAGAAGCCCTACAGTACTAGTTCAAAGTTTCAGAATTAAACAAGCTAGTGAATGTGGGCGGGTACTACAGTGACCCAAAACTAAAACCTCTCCAAAACAGATTAGGTCTGAAACTAACGTTTGTAAAAATGCAGGTCTTGTGGCTCTCCCACTATCCAAACCTACCTGACGCAGACTAGACTGGACTGCACTTACTTATAACCAGTACATCAGCTGCCAGAGGAACAGTCTAAACATAACAGATAGCAATATCTGAATTCCCCAAAAGCCAAAGCAGAAAAGTAAAGCTGTCCTAAAATTTGCTGATAAGCAAGGCCAACCACTGCTATTATTATAAAACTTTGCACCTTCACGTCATCTGCTTTTTTTACAATTATCATCTGTTTTACAATTATCATCTGTGACTTTAATCTCTCCCACTAAACTATAACCTCCAATACATGGGTTTGCTTCACTCTACCATCTCCCTTCAGTACCTAACAGCGGGTATGAATTATGGCCGACAACTAATTGGGACAGACTAATTCCATGACACAACAATGTAAACTAGTGCTACTATTGCAAGTCTCATTGTGGCAAATGTTCAATAAGGAAAAGCTAGACACGGGCTCAGTAGGTACAGACACTTATCTCCAAACCTGGTGACCCCATCTCTGGGACACTGGACACAGAGGCGCACACACACATACCATGAATAAATAAAAAGATGTTAAAAGGTTAGATAAGAAGTTGCCATGTATACATCACAGAGGAGCAAGGGCAGGGGTGTGTGCACACACAGAAAGACCTCTTCACTTCTGTATCTCAAACACCTGAAGAACTTGATGTGGGGGATATTAACACTCAAGTATCAACACCGGCAAAAGACGAGGTCAGACAAGTCCCAAGGCAGTGCAAACAGGCCTTTTTACACATTCAGAGAGGCAGAGTTCACAGACAACCAGGAAGTGCAAATTTAAATCAGTGAGATTTATTTCTCACACACCAATTTTGGGTAAAAATTCAAAAGCTTAATTACATACTGTCTGCAGGAAAACTGGAATGGGCCCCTATTTCAGGCGGTGTGTAAAATACTAAAATTCTTAAAAAGTATGTTAATTTTGCCCATCGGAATATTATTTTACCCCCCCCCCCCATACACATCTGAAGTACATAGCAATTGCTTGCCTGGAGGAGAAGCTTCAGAAGCAGTCAATAGAGGGAGCCAAAACGACAATGGGAAAGACATCTATAGCTACTTAGGTCACATCCCTCCCGGTGGGAAATACAAAATAAACTTGATCATTCTTGTGTCAGACACTGACACGACTTCCTTTGGCCAACGAAACAGGGATAAAAATGTCTTCCCAGTAGATGAAGGTAGAGTTGGCATTTTAAAATGTTTATTCTATGAGTCTTTCACACCATGTACCGTGATCCCATTCATTTCTCTGTCCTTACCATCTGCGTTCTGCCCTGCACTCTATCACCCACCCCCAAATAAAACAAAATTTCAGAGAAAAAAGGACAAAAATTCAAATCTCCTAAGGGCGGCTGCAGTGTAGCACAGTGAGCCACGCTGTACTCCCCTCTGTCCATACACATTTATTGCGAGGGCTCACTGCGAAGAGTCAGTTGTCTGGGTTGAGGCCTCTGGCTACTACTCTACTGACACTGGGACTCTTGGCTCTCCTGTAGTTGCCCTCTGTTGAGGACACCTGCAGCTTTGGGTCTGCGGGTCAGGTCACATGCTCCAGCAGACGGTAGATGGGGTGGATGGTGGGGTGGGTCAGGTCATAAGCCCCCCCCCCCCCCCCCCCCCCCCCCAGGGTGAGCTCCCTGTCCTCACCACCAGGGTGATCTCTCTGCCCTCACCACCAGGGTGAGCTCTCTGCCCTCACCACCAGGGTGAGCCCCCCCCCCTCACCCCCCCCCCCCCCCCGCCCTCACCACCAGGCTGAGCTCTCCAGCACTGGCCCAGTTATTTCAGTTCTGCAGCAATGAGCGAGGCGGGGGGCCAGTTTTCCTCTTTTTATACCGTCAGGATGGGCTCTCCCTCACCGGGCACCACCAGGGCCAGATCTATTGTTGCCCTGGTGAGGTACAGGGGCACTCTCCTGAGCGCTGCAGCTGGTGAGGGATAGGGACAGGCGTCCTGCTCTTGTGACCCCAGGGCCAGCTCCTCCACCTGTCTCAGACACTGATGGCTGGAAGTGGGGGAGGAGGGTATCTCTCTTCAGCCCACGCTACCACATGTCAGACGAGTAAAGGGGACACAGTGGTGACATTTTTTATAGCTTTTTCTTGACTCTCACACAGGTTGCTCCTCCACCAACACAAATCCTAAGGGAGTCCTAAAAGACTACACCAACTGTACGCATGCCCACAAACCTATTCCTGCTTTTGTCCCAGATTAAATCACTGTGCATGAAATATCAAAGAGTTATTCAATAATTCATGAGTGAAAGGCAAATTAAGTAGAGGAAAAAGTGAACAGTCTGGATTGCACACATATGAAACTATCATCTGATGCTTCAAGGCTTACATCAGAGCAGTCTTATCAAAATGAGAACCGCAGAAATAAAGAACATACAATAAAAGAGCTATTGATCCAAAATACATTATAAAAAGGGGACTAGTAAAACTAAATGTGAATGTTATAAACACACAAAGTGTAAAAATAACAATGAGTAATACCAGGTTATAAAAAAAAAATAGAAGAAACAGCTCATCATAAAAATTGTAGTTAATATGTTCCACTAAAAATTGGTAATATTCTAACAGAATCAACTTGCTGATGCTTTGAAATCAGACAGCCCTTTCATGTAAGTATCTTTCACTAAGCTCCGCCCTTTTCTAACTAGACACTCAGAAGAGATTCCAGCAAAATGCTTATTCTAATAATAATGTCTCTCAGGTTAAATTGATTTCCAAAGTGCAATCTTCAGAATATTACAGCTTCTCCCTAGATGCATCAGTTCCACCAGGAAAAAAAAAAAAACTCTCATACACGCACTTCTAAATCCAGTTCCAGGACTCTGCTATGTTTGTTTAACAGCAGAACAGGATCCTCCAGCTCTGGGAAGAGAAGACAGGGATCCCCAGGATAAGATGGCTAACCAGATTAGCAGAGATTGCAAGCAAGTGGAGAGGCACTGAAGAAGACGCCAACATCAACCTTGGGCCTCCACACACTTGAGCCCACGCAGGCAAACGTGCATACTTACAGGCACACGAGTCATACTAAATTAACATGTAACAAAATAAAATAGAGCTTTCAAAGTTGAAATCTTAGAGCTATTTTCTGGTGTTTTTTGTTAATTAATTTTTGTTATCTTACAGAGTTTCTTCTATTTATTCATAAAATAAGGAATAACTGAATTGTGTTTATCCTGGATGCCCAATCAATAGGCTGATCTTTTTCTTAGGGATACCAATTTATATCAGATCACGCCTTGCTCTTTTGAATAACTGCCAGTAAACAAAAACAAATATTTAATCTCTGACATTTATACTTGTTTTTAAAACATGTTCCCTTGCCTACAGTAGCACCAATCACGTAGTAAAAACTGTGGCAAAACTCTTAATGATAAGGCTGCTGGTGACTACACAAAAGGACCTTTTATGGGGTGCCCTCGTCCCTTATCTGAGCTCTCAATCTCTGAGGTACCAGTTCTCCTCTGCCAATCACAGTCTGAAAACGTTTAGTGAAACCACGCAAAACTATAAAACGGGCGACAAGTTCCACGCCACTCTCAGTAGTGTAATGAACTTTATGTCGCCATTCTACATAGATTCCCTGTGCCCAGGGAACCAACCCTGTGGATACCACTCAGCCAGAGTCATAGCCATGCAATCAGATCAACTGTCACTGAATCATTGTTTAAGAGTGGCCAATCAGAATGCAGAACACAGGCTGAAGTTTAGTAGTATTTCACGGCTTGCTTCACACAGATGCAGTGGATCTGAACACGAACCAGCCATACAAACAGTTCTCTTGCAGGTCCATGATTCAGCAGACAGGATTTTAGCAGCTGAAAAGTGAAGTAGATCTTATCACAGAATTTACTGCTGCGATCTTGTGGTTCAAAGCCAAGGGAACGAAATATAACTTTTGGTTTTGTTTCTCAAATCAAGCACCCTGACAGTTATGGGAACCATTTCATCTTAGCTCTCTCTATATTTCCAAAGCACAGATATAAAATTCAGTAAAAAGTTTAGCAAACTGAGAGACAAGTTAAATACCCAAGTCAAAACAAACAACTTTCTGAAACAGAAGCATTGGGGATGAATCAATTCAAAAGCTCTGGGTTATTAGTCACTCCCTTTTTATCAGTTCTTTTTTCTCTTCAGCTCTCTATATACACAAAATGTTATAAATGGCTCTCTGTCCAGTTCAACAGCGTGCAGCTGAGGTCTGTGAACACTACTAAAGCCAGACATGACAAGAGCCATTTTAGCAAAAATGGTTGCATGACTACCCCCACTTCTGCTATTCTCTACTATTTACCTTCCCAGCCAGGGGAAGTGAAGGACTAAGATGGACAAGGGAACCAGCTTCAAAGTCTTCTCCCAGGCCAGGGAAGAGAGTGAGATTTGGGAGCTGGAGGCCACACCCTCTTTCCATTTCAAATTCAACTGATCTAGGAAGTAGCCAAGGTATGAAGGTAGGTGGAGCTCTGAAGTGAACAACCAGTACAAGGTTTCTTCAGGGCTGAGCCCTGAATTCAGGCAGGCTTTGGAGTACATTAATCAAGCGCTACACTCCTGGACTGTGATTGAGCTTTTAAAATAAGGACAGCTAAATTACACATAGTCTTTTAGGTCTAAAAGGTAAATGAAAAGAAAAATCAAATGGAGCTATTTAAAGGACACTGTCATCAACTGGGAAAACAAGACTGATGAAACAGAGTTTTGGCAAAAGTTAATGCTTATATTAACTTGTCAAGTCCACTGATCTGTATTTACTGACTACCATATGATTTACTAAATGTTGTTAAAGGGTATATAACACGTACGCCAGTGGTCCTCAACCTCAGGGCTGCAACCCCTGTGGGCTGAATGACTATTGGAAAACACAAACACTTACATGATGATTCACAACAGCATCAAAATTAGAGTTGTGAAGTAACAATGCAATTCTATGGTTGGGGCCAGCACACCATGGGGAACTGTACTGGAGGGTCACAGCATCAGGAAGGAGAACCACCCGTGTAGGCAGTTGTCCTAACCCCAACAAGAACAGTGTCTAAGGAGGGAGCAGGTTTTAAAGTGTGGATTAAACTATGTTGCTTCTGTAATTTTTGTTGAGAACAATGTGGCGGCGTCCTTACTGTGCCTCAACTGTGCTTAAAGTGCCATCTTCCTGAGGAGATTTAACTCAAAAGCCAGAAGCTGACAAATGGGAAAGGAGCTGCCCTGAAAGGAGTCAAGGCAACAGAACTCAGCAGCCTGATACACGGGCTGTTTGCATAAAGTGGAAAATCAAACTGCGCGACGTAAGTTTTCTCTGGTCTCTCTCTAAACTGTCCATGGTAAAACCAGGCCACCATTACCCTTAGAAATTTGAAATGTAAGAAGTAAGGTCTCCAACAACAAACAGGGCTCCTGGCTGCAGACACCTATAGGAATGTCAGTGTCTGTAGGCAGAAGACAGGCATGGGAAATGCTGGCTTGTAAGAATCAACAAACCTATCTCAAAGAAGAGCAGAACCTAAAGCACACAAATGCAAGAATGACTCTGGCCCAAACCCAGTTGCAAGGTCTAAGGATTAAAACTCTCATTAGAAACGAAGACTGCTCAGAAATCTTAAAAGTACAGTTTGCTGTAGACAAACTTATGCATGCTGCTTCTCAGAATCAGGAAAATGTAGGGAGCTACATGTATGCTGGTCAGGTGTTCCACCTAGAAGCTGTGTCTACAGCAACCGCTCACTGTAAGGCAGAGAGTAACCAAACTTTTGGTGGGACACTTATTTCTGTCTTCAGAACTCTGTATCATAACTTCAGAGACATGCCCCATTTTGAACATGCTATTTCCTAGCTTTCTCGTCCATCAATGTCACAAGTTTTACTTCTAAATGGTAAGACTCGATAGAGCTGAGAACCTGAGATTATTTAACCCAACCTCATTCACAAACAAGGAAACACAGGCCTAAAAAAAGGGATCTGATAACTTGTCTATGTTCTTTGAGAAGTTACTGCTAGGATCAACCCACCCACTCATGGTGGTCACACTGCCATGGCATCTAAAGGACTCTTTACATTGTGAGATTTGGGGCAGCGTAAACCTTAAAAAGAACGAACAATGAATTCAAAAGCATTTTCAACAGAAGAGACGTTTGGATAGCTTCTGACACTGTAATTATGAAGGAAAAGATCAGACCCAGTGGGGCTCAATGTGTGTTCAGGAAGGAAGGATCTGTATGAGTTTGTGTGTATCTCTGAGATACTAATTACATTGCTTTCTCCTTTGGTAGCTCCACATAGTATATCATCACCCATTCAGGGGCTGATCAATAAATAGCAACTGTCTTCCAGTAGGAGACTGAGTTTCATTTTTAAAAACTAACTTTACTCAGACATTTCAAGTACTGTTCATTCCTGGTCTCCACTTTAAAGGGATTCTTAATCCAGCCAGTATCTTTAGAAAATTACAGCCTCCACAACCTTTAAAGTTTTCTCTTATTTCAAAAACAGGAAGGCAAGAGTTCTAATGAAGAGACAATGAGGACGAAGCAAGGAAAGATGTATTTAAAGGGACATGCTGCAACTAGATTCCCAAAGTCCAGTTTCTTCAAATTCCATAGCCACAAGACAGTGAGTGTTGGACACTCCTTCCTTTAAGGGTCAAAATGCATACTACTGCGGGGTTTATGGATCAATTCTTCGTGCTTTGTGCTTTCCTCTACTGTTGAAACTGAAGTGCTCCTATGCACACCCTTCAAGCACCTATCATGAAGACAAGCTGGATAAAACTGTGAATGGCTGGTCCTACAGAAAGCCAATAACGCTGGGCAAACAACCATATGCATTACACCAAAATACAGAGGCAGCATTTCCACTTCTTAGGGATGAGTAACGTGCCATTATAAGGTCTTTAAAGAGTAGCCTACAGCCGCTGGCATGGTCGCAGAGAAGGAGCACAAAGTTCAGTGCAAGTAAGTGAGAAAAGTTTCCAGGTTGGGCCTCAAGAAAACACACGGTGCACACAAAACTCACTTAAGTTCCCAGATGAGGGAAGCACTTTCGATTACAAAGTACCATTTGTTTTGCTTTGGTTTGGATTTTTTTTTTTTTAAGTTAGGAAATGGGTCCTCCCAGCTGGCACGCACCAAGTAAAGGGAGTGTGGCCAAAGCCAGGGCCGAGCAGAGACACGGGCGTTCTGGAAGTCTAACTCCGTGGACGTCACAACTGGTTGGAGGAGGCAAGGGAGAGGAGGAAGGATCCCACACGTAACCGGGACAAGTCGGTGGCGCCCGTCCCGCGTGGGGGGTGGGAGGGAGACCAGGAGAGGCCACCACGCAGCCGCTGCGAGTCTTCGGGCGGCTCGCACACCTGCCCGCGCCCCCTCGGCGCGGCGCCGCCTCCCGGTCCCCGTCCCCGTCCCCGTCCGCGCGCGGGGAGGCGAAGCGCCGCAGGGACGGGGGACTCACCGGGTCCCTCGGGGCTGACCGGCGAGGGCGGCCGATGCTCGGCGGGCCCGCAGCCGGGGTCGCCCGGAGCCGGCTCCCTCAGGTAGTCCTCGAAGCGCACCTGCCGAGCTTCGCCGCCGCCTCCGCCGCCGCCGAGACCCCACAGGCGGCTGGCCGTGCCCCGCAGCAGCCGGCCGCTCTTGCCGGTGAACGTGGTCAGGTAGTCCATGCCGCCGCCCGTCGCCACGGTTCTCTGAGGGCCGCGGCCGCCGCGCGACAGCGCCCGCCCAGCCTGCCGAGCCGGGGGCGGCGGCTCCGCGCCTGCAGGCGAGCGGCGCGGGCCGGGCCTCCTCGGGTCCGGGGCGGACCATTGGGCCGCTCGTCGGGGGAGCCTGCGGGCTCCGAGGGACGGGAAAGTGCTGCTTCGCGTTCCCGCGCTCCGGCCCGGGCAGAGCTTCACTTCGAAAAGTTTTAGTCGTCGTCTTCGATGGATCCATGGTTGGAAACGCCTGGACCTTTAAGTCTCCCGCGCCGGTGCTCGCCGCCCTCCCCCACCGTCCCGCCGCGGTGGAGCAGCCCGCTACCCCCTCCTGCCCCGCCCCGCCCCGTCCCGGAGCCAGCCGGACTTTCAGGACCGCCGAGGAAGGGAGGACCCTTAGCCTCCTGCCCGAGGGCAGCGTGGGGCCCACAGGCCGCCTGGAAGCTCGGCTCGGCTAGACTTTAGGGGAGTTCTAGGGACTAGCAAAGTTTTTACTAAGTTTGTGTGTGTGTGTGTGTGTGTGTGTGTGTGTGTGTGTGTGTGTGTGTTTAAAACTAGCAAAGTTTTTACTAAGTTGTGTGTGTGTGTGATTAAAACTAGTAGCAAAGTTTTTGCTAGTGGCGTTGGAAACGTGTGTGTGTGTGTGTGTGTGTGTGTGTGTGTGTGTAAACCACGTAAATCCTTGCCCCTTTAAAAGAAAATTTAATGACAAAGTGATGGCTACTTTAAAAGTTAAGATCGCAGTGGCCATGTGGTAAAGTTCGCCGGGAGTTTATGAACTTTTGCTGAATTGACTTTGTAGGAATCCAGCGCAGTGATGGCTCCGAAGAGCAGATCTGCCTTTTTAGAAGGAAAACAGGGACTGGAGAAAGAACGGTTGCCTTGACACACACTTACTACTTACTACTCGGTTTTGGTTCCTGTGAGATCAAGCTAGTCTTTTCATGTCTGTTAGCTTCGTTAGTTTTCCCACAAATTAAACAAGCCCTCTTTTGCCGGTGTAGGGATAAATTGTGAATTGCTTGGGACGTTAACCGGCTAAAGACTCTGAATAATGGAGTCCAGAAAATGGGGAACTTACTTTGCCCGGCTTTCACCCCATCTGAGGCCGCTGCCCTCTGATCCATGTTTGAAATCTGTTGACTCATCTTACTTTCCCTGCCAGCACCATTATCAGTTTAAATTTCTCACTTGATTGGGTAAACTTTAGGATCCCAACATCGGCATCAACTTTACACCTGGTTAAAAATATAGAACGTGTGGGCAGTGTCCCCAGAGTGCCTGATTTACAGTGCTCACGAGGTAGAGGCCAAGGAAATTGCATTCTCAGCAGGCAGTCTTAAGTTCCAAAGTGTTGCTTGGCTTAAAAATTGCTCCAGCCTTCCTTCTGTATCTCTCTCTTTTTTTATTTAAAAGGTTTTTTTTTTTTTCATTTTACATACCAACCACAGTTCCCCGTCCCTCCCCTCCTGTTGCTCCTTCCCAACCTCCTATCCAATGCCCCCATCCACTCCTCAGAAAGGATAAGGCTTCACACAGTAAGTTAGCAATGTCTGGCAGTTCAAGTTGAGGCAGGACCAAGCCCTTCCCCCAGTATCAAGGCTAAGTAAAATATCCCTCCATAGGGAATGGGCTCCAGAAAGCAAGTTCATGCACTAAGGATAAATTCTGGTCCCATTGCCAGTGACCCTACAGACTTCTCAAGCCAGAGAACCGTCACCCACATTCAGAGGGCCTAGTGGGTTTTCCAGCTGTCAGTGCAGAGTCAGAGAGCTTCCACTAGTTCAGGTCAGCTGTCTCTGTGGGTTTGAACTTGACCCCTTTGCTCATACAATCCCTCCTCCCTCCCTTCCACTGGACTCCAGGAGCTCTGCCCAGTGTTTAGCTATAGATCTCTGCATCTGCTTCCATTCTTACTGGAATTAGGGTGGTTATTGATCCGACGGCTGGGGAAGGCCAGTTCAGGCCTCCTCTCCACTACTGCTTAGAGTCTTAGCTGGGGGGCATCCTTGGGAATTCCTGGGAATTCCCCTAGCACCAGGTGTCACCCTAACCCTCTAATGACTTCTATCAAAACATCTCTTGCCCTCCTTTCCCTCACTGTCCCTTCCCTAACTCAACCATCCAGCTCCCTCATTCTCCTGCTCCTCCCCTTCTGCCCTCCCTTCCTCCCAATCCACTCAGGAGATCTTCTCTTATTCCCCTTCCCAGGGGCATCTATGTATGTGTCTCTCTTAGGCTCCCCCTGTCACCTAGGTTCTCAGGGGTTGTGGATTTGTAACCTGGTTATCATTTTCTTCATGTCTAATATTCACTTATGAGTGGGTCTGGGTTACCCTCACTCAGGATGTTGGTTTCCAGTATCTCTTAAGGACCTCTTGGTTAGGCCATGTAATCAACAATGTTCGTCATCCCCCACACTCAGCTGTTCAAGTCCTAATCCCCACATGTTGGTTTATGGAGGTAATTAAGTCATGAGGATGAAATCTTCTTGAGAGGGACCAGTACCCTGGTAAGATCAACCTCAGCGAGCTCTCTGATCTACTGCAATGTAAGAATCCACAGCTAAGGGAGTCTGTAACTAGAAAAGGACACCGCCAACAAAAGCTACTCTTGCTTGGCACCCTGATTTTGGATTTCTAGGCTCTATGAAATAGTTTTGTTATTCATAAGCGACCCAAGAAAGGTACTTCCTTTTAACATCCCGGCGGGGAACAGAGGTTTTAGTTTGTCTCATTTATATCTGAGAATTACATTTCAATAGAAGACATCACTAGGTTACCGCCACTGAGTGCTTTTGAGTCTCAGTATGCAAGCCAGGTTTGATGAGCACAGGCCTGCATTCTGTCAACAGCAGAGGACAAAGAAGACGGAAAGTTCCAAGCCAACTTGGCCATTTTACCAAGACCTTGTCTGAAAACAAAATTTAGGGGAGGAGGATAGAGAAGGAGAGGAGGGAGGAAAGAGGGTGCTTCAAAAATATTTTTAAAGAAAAATCTTGATTCTTGATAAACTGAAATTATTTTGCTAAGGTATGTCTTTTATTGTCTTACTAAATCGATTTGCTTTGTGATTATTACCATGAGCAAATAGTGTTTGAGTTCTTACTACCCAGGTAAACTTGTGCTTTTACATCCACACAGTAGGAATCTGCATTCTATGATTTCAAATGCAATTTTATACGACGTTAACGCACACCCCCATTTACTGCATCTGTATCAAAGAAGGCGAGGGCTGCTGGACAAATGGTATACCTCACTGACCGAATACAAATTTGATTTAAAGTCCATTAGACCCTCATATTTCCTGTAAGTCAATCTCCTGTTCTATGTTCTTCATGTGTTGTCTCAGCTGTCACCGCTCCAGTGAAGTGCCAAATTTATCACTCCAAACTGTCACATCGCCTTCTGCATGCCCCAGAAAACCACAGGCCATCAAATACAAGTGCTCGCTTTCCTTCTTTTCTTCTCTTACCTTCCCGTACAAGTTCCTTTCCATACCTTGACTCAGAAAGAGGTCATTATCCTGTCACAACCTCCCCCTAAAATCTACTTTTGATCTTGGTCTGCATGCTTTGTGACATGCCAACCTGTGAGTCTTCCGATTACATTTTCCTTCTGGCACCTCCTTAGCTCTTACTCTAGGCCAGCAGCATAAATCTCTGTTGTCAAAAAAAAAAAAAAAAAAAAAACACTTCCCTTGCATACCTTACTCACTTGTAGATTGCCTTTTACCTCATTTTAAATGTCTGCTTGCTAGTGTATAACTTACATACCATAAAATCCACCCCTTAAGTGTACCGATTGAGGAAATATGAACAACTTTGTCTTTCAACATTCCATCATGTGAAAATAAGCTTAAGATTAGACACTCCCCATTCTACCCGCTGCCCTAAGCCATCACTAACACACCATCTATGGACCTGCTTTAATAAGCATCCCATGTAAAGAAATCGTGGCCGATGGACTTCAGATCCAGCTCTTTCGCCTCATGCACCAGCCCCAGGCCGTTTTCATCTGCAGGCGTATCTGTACATCCCATAATGCGTCCCTGGACAGAGACCACATTTGGACATTGGGGTTTTCCTGATTCGATGATTATTAATAATGTTGTCACCATCTGTGCATCTAAGTTTCTTTTCTGACCTATTTCACTTGGCTATATTCAAAAGAAAGCTAAAATTACAGTTTTTAATCTACATGTTGAAATGTTTCATATTAAACTTCCAACTGTTTTCTTTTCAGTAATGGAACAATTTATCCTCAGGTTCATATGACAATTCAAGGTGATCCAAAGTGACAATTTAAAAAAAAGAACGTAAAAAAGAACAAAGCTCAAGGGCTTGTATTGCCCAATTTCAAAACATAAAAGTTACAAATTGTATATTGGTATAAAGTCAGACATAGATCAATAGTATAGAATCAAGCACTAAGAAATAAAGTTTTAATGGTATTGGTTTTCAACAGGGATGCCAAGGACATTTAATTGGTGTGTGTGTGTGGGGGGGGTGCTGTCTGCAATAAACATTCCCAGAATGATTGGTAGCCACATACCAAAGAAAGAGCTTAGATTCCTCCCTCATAACAAACACACATGTTAACGCAACATGGTTGAAAGAAACAACTGTAAGAGCTAAAACCATCGAACTCTAAGAGAAACATGGGAGGTGCCGAAAGTCTCCATAGTCTCGGGTTTGACAAGACTTAGACGTGACAGCAGAAGCGTCACATAATCTAAGAAAAGTCCCTTACTTCACGTTGTGAAATGCAGTTAGCTGCCAATAAATACTAGTTTCTTCTATTAGAATAATGGAGCCAAAAAGAAAACCTTTAATAGCATTTTGGTGACATTGAGTGGAAACTGCTGATTCTGTAGTCAGCAGATGTGTGAGGATAGAGCGGTTCTTCCTGCAGAGGGCATTTGGGCAGATCTCTGCTCATTTTTAAAGCATCTACACTTGAATTCCACAGGCACACTCCTTAGGATAGGCCCTACGTACGTCTGAAATGACAGTTTCCTGTAGCCGTTGGAAACACTTCAATGGCAATGAGCAGATAAATAAGATGTTTGTGTATT